ATATATATATATATATATATATATAGAGAGAGAGAGAGAGAGAGAGAGAGAGAGAGGAGAGAGGGAGAGAGAGAGAGAGAGAAAGAGAGAGAGAAAGAGATGCCTGTCCAGAAATTTGCATACATCTTAAAGAGAAAGCGTAGGTCCTTACAAATAGACACTGCCATGCAACCACCAGCCAGCCTGGGGACCAGGACATGAGGGGGAATCTCAGACCCTCCCTTCGAGTTGCCCCTCAGTCACCGTCTCCCCTTCCCTTGTCTCCAGAGGTGACCAATGGCAGGTTCGGTTCCTGAGAAGCAAGTTCCTTCCCAGATGAGGGCTCAGCAGCCGGTGGGTGATTGATTGAAGCAACGCACCGTATAGAAAACTGTGTGAGGTGCTGAACGAGAGGCAGAGGAGAGGCAGAGAAGGTGCAGAGGGAGGCGGTGCTGTTTTGGGGCCTCTGGGCTCAGCGCCCCCGTGGGTCTTGGGGACCCTGCGACACCAACAATGAGAGAGCACCTGCCCCCCACCGGGAAGCCCAGGGGGCACTCATTTGCATGAAAAGACATTAGCAAAAGACTCTCCCCTTGTGCCTCAGGGAGTGAGGGTGAGTCCAGGAACTGAGAAGTAACGGGTTTGAATCCCAGTCAGGGCACAGGCCAGGGTCCTGGGCTCGATCCCCAGTGTGGAGTGTGTAGGAGGCAACAGATTAATGTTACTCTCTTATTGATTTTTTGTTTCTCTCTCTCTCTCTCCCTTGATCTCGCTAAAATCAATAAAAACGCATTTAAAAAGAAAATAGAAAAGCGACAAGAATTTGTCACGAGCCCCGAATGTCCTAGGAAGTCCTTTAGCCCAGAGGAGGATGATGTCAGAGTGGCAATGTTAGAAACAGAAAATAAATAGGTAACTATAAGAGAATTATTTCCTTAAAAAAAAAAAAAAACACACACACTCCTTTAAGCGTATTTATAGCAATAACAATCTGCTGTAGTATCCGGAACAGGGGAAAGTAAAAATATAAGAAAAAAGGCAGGGGGTTTGGGGGTGGGACTGGGCTGTGTGTGTGTGTGTGTGTGTGTGTGTGTGTGTGCTAAGGTTGTTGCATTAAACAGCCAGTGAGATTTAGCAGTGAATGGCAGACTGGTTACTTAGAAATGAATGCTGGGAGCCACGGAGACCAACAAAAGGGTAACATGCTAATTAGACTGGGGGATCTTCTGGACAAAGCCACGGTGGCGGCGTTGGAGGGGCTGAGGCAGAGGCGGTTAGGGGCAATCAGGCCAGGAGGGGAGGGCAGTTGGGGGTGACCAAGCTGGCAGGCAGAGTGGCTAGGGACAGCGGTCCCCGTTTAGGTCGTCGGACATCCCCCAAGGGGTCCCAGATTGGAGAGGGTGCAGGCCTGGCTGAGGGACACTCCTTCCCCTGTGAACAAATTTTGTGTACCAGGTGCTAGTAATTAATAGAACAGGAGGACACCCTGGCCTGTGGGGCGCGGTGGTGAGGGTGCCGCCTGCACACCGAGGGTCTCGGGTTCAATTCCCCGTCGAGGGCGCATGTCTCGGTTGCAGGCTCGATCCCTGGCCCCCCTCAGGGCGTGTGCAGAGGGAAACTGACTGATGTTTCTCCCCCATGGTTGTTTCTCTCTCTAAATGAAGAGAATATGCTCGGGTGAGGATTATCAACAACAACAACAATAACAACAACAATCTCATCTATCTGAAGAGATGCGTCCTGGCCAGGGTGTCTCAGTGCTGAGAGCATTGTCCCACGCACTGAAGGGTTGCAAGTTGGATTCCTGGTGGTCAAGGCACATACCCAGGTTGCGGGTTTGATTCCCAGTCGGGGCGAGTGGGTGGATTTCTCTCTCTCTCTCTCTCTCTCTCTCTCTCTCTCTCTCTCTCTCATTAATGAAAAACATATCCTCTGGTGAGGGTTTCCAAGCAGAAAAAAGATATGAGTGGCCCGTACGTAAATGAAATATATTTTTACCTTTATGCGTCACCGGGAAAAAATGAGGTGGCATTATCCATCCATTATGACGGATGGAGAGGGTAGGGAGCAGCCACAATTCTCATGCAGGGAAATGAGAAATCCTTCAATATTTTGGAAATTGAAAATCTGGGGGCAGCTCCCTGTGAAGCTGTACATTCACCTGCCATATGACTCACTCCCAGGTTTCATGTTTTTGTTTTTTGTTTTTTACCCAAGAGAAACGAAACCATCTGTCCATCCACAGACCTGTACGTGAGCTTTTATTCCTGACAGGTCCAAACCAGACAGGTCCAGCAACTGATGCGGGGACAGGCCAGTCTCAGGGGGTGATTTGCACTCAGACCCCTGCGCGCGGCGGCGGAGGGAGGAAGCCAGCCGTCAATCTGCACCGGCGGCTGCCTGGGGACCAGCAGCGTCGCAGGAAAGCAGGCGGGGGGAACTCCTCCCTCCCCCCCTGCAGCTGGCCATTTAAATAGTCACCACATCATTCGGGGTTGGGGGGAAGGGGAGAAGCATACAAAAACGATCAGCGGAAACATTAGCCTGCTCGATTTGGACAAACATTTAATTAACTCGCCCCTGAAGGGGCGATAGTTGCAATACTACCAACAATAAAAAATACATTACAAAAAATAGTAATAATGAACTCACCCCGAATGCCTTAGCGGGGCCAGACCAAATGATTTCTTGGGACGTCCCCTGCTCCTGCACTTAAAGGAAAGAAGTCATACACAAGCGAATATATAACCTATTGTTCCATTCACAGGCCAGGCCAGAACAGGCAGCAAATCCACAGGGACGAGACCTAGGCCGGTGCTTGCCCAGGACTGAGAAAGGCACGCAGGTGCGACGGGTGAGGGCAGTGGGGGAGAGAAGAAATGGAGACGGGCTCATACATTTGTCAAGACGCATCTAATTATACATTGAACGTTTTCCTTCCTGCGTGATACCCCGAGTCGACGGCGGTTTTTTTTTAAAGAGCTTAAGTTAATAAGGCCGGCCAGAGTGGCTCGGGGGTTGAGTGTTGTGGCTAGCAGGCCTGGGTTCAGTCCCCAGTGTGAGGGGGCCCGCAGGAAGCAGCCGACACACAGCTTCTCACTCCTCGTGGATGTGCCTGTTTCTCTCTCCCTCTCCCTTTCTCTCTGACATCAATACAGATGTATTTTAAAAGGGAAATAAATAAGGCCGAGAGCCTGACTGCTTGGAGCCTGGGTCTGAAGGGGTGCCGGTTGGGTAATCGCGGCGTCTGTGACTCTGTGGTTTTTGCGTTGCTCTCGGTGAACGGCCGGGACCCCCTGCAGACTGTGTCCAGATGAGAGGCACGAGGGCGCGCAGGAGAAACAGAAACACCCGTGTGGATGGGGAGGCGTGATGGACACGGGCCTCGTTTTTCCGGATGATTCCCTGGTGCACCGACCGGGCACCGGGTCCAAAGGAGGCGTCAATAGACTTTTCCAGAGAAAAAAACCCAAACAAACATCAGAGATAACGGTTTATCTCTCACTGTCTTCCCATCCCAGCCCTTCGGGTTCTGTGGTCACATTTTTTTTTTTTCTGTTCCAAAAATGCGATTGTTGATTTTTTTTTTCTTTAAAAAAGGGCAATGATATTTAAAATTAATGCCAGCTGGTGAGGGAGGGTCCGGAATAGATATTTACCTCCGTGGGGTCAGCACAATAGGAAAGCACACAGACACACACACACACGTGCACACACACACACACACACACACGTGCGCACACACACACCTCTCAAGCTCTATAAGGAAAAGAGGTCAATACAGAGGCCTCGTTATCTGTTACTCGCCATCCCCGAGGTGGCCCGGGACCATGAGGTTACCTGGGCGTGTGGGGGGCGTTGGGCTGACCTCAGGCAGGCCTGTGCGACCACCCCCCTCGCCGTGAGAGTCAGAGGCGCCGGGAAAACGTGTTTTTTTTTTGAGCGTCGCTAGCCAGAGAAAAGCAGAAGGCCCGCCGCGGCTCAGCGGTCGTCAATAGACTTTTCCAGAAAAAAAAAAAAATCATCAGAGAGCCGTGTTTATCTCTCGCTGTCTTCACGTCCCGACCTTTCAGGCCAGAACCGGCAGCGAATCTACAGGGAACCAGGAGGTCGGGGCACAGGCCTGGTTGTGGGCTCCAGGTCCCTAGTGAGGGATGGTGTGCAGGAGGCAGTGGGTCAATGACCCTCTCTCATCAGGGATGTTTCTCTCCGTCTCCCTTGCTCTCTGAAATCAATACTAATATATTGGGGGTTCGGCGGGGAGGGGGGGAGAAGACGCCCTAGGCACACGGGGTTCACACGGGCCAGGCGGATGTGGCTCTGCCTTCTAATGAGAACCGGAGTCCAGTTTGGTTTCAGAGAAAACGGGAGCCCGGGGAGTCAGGGCTGGGGGCTCCATCCCGTGTGGATGTGCAGGGGAGCAGCCACAGAGGATGTGTCTCTGTCTTTGACGGTTCTCTCTGTCCCTCACCCTTTCTCTCTAAAGATCAATTTTTAAAAAGCACATTTTTTTTTTAATTAAAAGAAAACAACAAGCTCTCTTGCTTGAATAGATACCATGGACAGCTCCGGGCCGGGGCAGAAAGGGCATGATCTTCCCCCGAAGGCTGGCGTGACCGCAGAGAGGACCCCCATATCCGACAGGACCCCAACTTCCTGGCCGCGCACTGCGCCTAACCAGCCCCCCTTGGCCACGCATGTAGGCGCACACATGTGAGCACAGGGTAGGGTGGGGGGACAGGATCCCCTGAAATGTTCGGGGTGCAGGAACCTGTGTTTTTTTTTTTTTGTTTTTTTTTAATTAGACGGTCTTCGCGGGCACCTACACCTAACGGGCCGCCACACCGGGGCCGGAGGACGGGGCGGGCGGGAAAACCTGTGGGTGGGGGGGGGGGCAGGGGCGGGGATCCCCGCTCCGGCGGCGGCGCTGACTCCTCAGTGGCGGCGGCGGCGGCGGGCAGCGCGGAGCCCAGATCGGAGCCGGACCGCAGCCCGCGAGGCGAGGCGGGAGCAGCGGCGCCATGTGCTCCGCGGCGCTGGCCCTCCTGCCGCCCCTGTGGCTCTGCTGGGCGCTGGGGGCGCGCGGCTCCGAGCCCCTCAGGTGAGGCAGGGCGCCCGGGCGCCGGCGGGTCGGTCCGGTGCGGTCCGGTCCGGCCGGAGACGCCCGCGGCACCGGCTCCGGCTCCGGGGCTGCGCGGGGGCCGCTCCGCCGCGGCTGATCGGGGCGGGGCGGGGGTCCTGGGGAGCCGGGCGGCCCGGGGGAGGCGGGTGGTGGTCCCCGCGCGCTCCTCCCTTCGCCGCTCCCGGGGCCTGGGCTGATCGCCGATCGCGGGCGGGCGGGCGGGCGGGCGCCGGGCACACGGGGCCGCCGGCTCCGCCTCGGCCAGCGCCGCCGCCTCCTCCCCGCGCTCCGCTGCTCCTCCCCTCGGTGCGCCCTCCCCTGCGCCTCCTCCGCTCGCTCCGCTCCCGGCCAGCGCGGCGGCGGCGGCGGCAGGAGCAGCCCCGGCGGCGGGTCGCGGCGGCGGCGGCGGCGGCGGCGGGGCGCCCTCCCCGGGCCGGGGCGGCGGCGGGATGAGGGGCCTCGCGGGGGGACGGCTGTTCCGCCTCCTGTCGGCGCCGGTGCTGGTGGCCGTGGTGTGCTGCGCGCAGAGGTAGGCGAGGCGAGGGCTCGGGCTCGGGCCCCGCGCCGGGCGGCCGGCTGACCCGGCTCCCCGGGCCCCCTGTCCCCCTCTCCCCGCAGCGTGAACGACCCCGGGAACATGTCCTTCGTGAAGGAGACGGTGGACAAGCTGCTCAAGGGCTACGACATCCGCCTGAGACCCGACTTCGGCGGTAAGCGGGGCGGGGAGCGCGCCCGGAGCGGCGGCGGCGGCGGCGGCCTGGGCGGGCGGGCGCACCGGCCGGGGAGGCGGGTCCGCGTCCTCCGGGCCGGCGCGGCGAGGGGCGGGGGTGGGGAGGGTGGGGGACCCTCTCCCGCGCCCCCTGCCCCGGGAGCCCCCTCCCCGGTCTCCGCGGAGCCCCCCGCACGCCCAGGCCCGGGCCCGCGCTGATGGCTGCCCGGTCTGCGCTCCCGCAGGGCCCCCGGTCTGCGTGGGGATGAACATCGACATCGCCAGCATCGACATGGTGTCCGAAGTCAACATGGTGAGTGCCCGCCCGCCGGGGGCCGCCCCGCGACCCCGCGCCGCCGCCCGGGGCCCAGGCGCCCGCGGGGCCGGGCCTGAGGCCTCCTCCGCCGGCTCGGCCTCCTGGCTCCGGGCTCCGGGCTCCGAGGCGCCGGCCTCCTTTGCCCGCCCGGGGGGCGCGGGGCACCGCAGCCGCCCCGCGGAACGAAGGAAGGAAGGAAGGAAGGGGTCCCCGCCGGCCCAGCGCTCGGCAGGCCCCGCCGCCGCCGGCTGCCGGCTCCTCCCGCGCCCGGTTCCCGGTTCCCGGGCCCCAGGCCGCCGCCTCCTTAGCAACAGGCGCCGCCGCCGCCAGGGAGCGGGGAAGCCGGGAAGCAGGCGAGAGCCGTGCGGGTGGCTCGGATGCCGGGCGCCTCGGGCGTCCTTTCGGGGAGCGATGCCGGCCTCTGGCGAGGGCCAGGGCGGCGGCTTGTGGGCGTCCGGCTGCCTCGGTTTCCCCGGTGCCGGCGGTGGGGAAGCGGCGCTGTCAGAGGTGCTGAAGGCCGGTCTGTTGTGAGAAGGGAGGCCGGGCTCCCTGTGAGCGCGCAGGGGGGTTCCCTGTCCCGGCCCGTGGGAGGCGGGGGACCCCCGTCCCGAGATGCCGGGACGGTGGGGTGCGTGTTAAGGCTTTGGCTCGGGACCCCAGGGGCAGAAGGAGCCCCTTCCATCATCTGCTCGGGGACCTGCAGCGCGTGCCACGTGGGCAGGCTTTTCCGTGGAGTGGACGCTCTGGTGGGGACGGGATGAGCCCTGGGAGACGGTGCTTTTGGGCAACTTTTTCTTTCGGCCACATACCGGGCTCCTGACGTGGGCTCCGACGGACGCCATAGGTTCCCGGGCTCGGTGTGCCCCGTCACGTGGGCGCAGGCTGTTCTCAAATGCAGGCTCCCAGGCGCTCACGCGCTGTCGGGTTCGGGTCCAGCGCGGGGGGGGGGGGGGGGTGGGAGGGAAGCTTGCGGTCTGGTCTTGGCATTGAAAACGGATGCTTCGTGATGGTTCTGAGGCAGGTGCTCTGTGGACGGCATTTCGAGAAACTTTGCAATCAATCAATCCATCACAGAAAGACATGTAGAAACACACGGAGACTAGGATTCAGCGTGAGGAGCTGCACAGGTTTAACCGAGGGACCACTGTGGGTTCTTCATCAAGAAATCTTTGGCCCAGCAAAGCTATTAATATTTTTTTTTGGTCAAATTTTCACGCAGAACCTAAATGGTTTAAATTACAACGCGTGATGTAAAAACAAAACACAAAACAAAACAAAACAATTTACCTTGCACTCACCTCGGCCATTTCTATAAAAGACATTATAACTGATTAAAAAAAAAATGCTAGTAAGAAACCCAGGAGGCATATGACTTTGCATACATCACATTAAAAATTAACATCATGGGCAGTTTACATTTTTTTTTTTGTAAAATGTAAATTTTACAAAATCAGTTTACATGATTTTGTAAAAATAATTCTGTCTCCAAAAGCTATAGTTTATGGTCTAGAGAGAAAACACACACACACACACACACACACACACACACACACACACATCACACAAGTATTATATTTAGGATCTACTGTGTAATCTGTGGTTTTCTTAATTGGGGACTTGATAGTCTCGAGAGAAGACAATTTTTTAATGGAAGTTAATTGAATATTTAGTGGATTACGGTGTCAAATGTGTTCAAATTGGATGGCAAAAGGAAGAAAACATATTGATGACGGGGTGCTATAAGAATTCTGCACAGTATTGTGTTTTCCCAGATCAGTGGTTGGCAAACTGCGGCTCACAAGCCGCATAAAGCTCTTTGGCCCCTCGAGTTTTTAGCAGAGGCCAGCTGAGGAGGACCCTAATTAAGTTAATAACAATGTGCCTACCTATTTAGTTTAAGCTTAAAAAATGTGGCTCTCACAAGAACTTCCAGTCGTGGTCCTGTTGATATTTGGCTCTGTGGACTCATGAGTTTGCCGACCACTGGCCCCAGACCATGGACCGTTTTTTCCCTTGAATGTAATTTTTAAACTTGAGTTACATAATGGCTGTGGCCTCACGTGGACTGCCAGCTACCTTTGGGGGGAAAAAATGCATCATCGATGGTTGTTTTGTTCACGGATGATGAATTGAGGTTGCCTCCATTTTCTCGGGGTCCGATCCCAGAAAGGCCAATTATGATGAACAAGCCATTAGCGTGAACCCTCTTTCCTTGGAGGGCATGTCCCGCGGTTCATAGCTACGCAGGACCTGTGCAGGCATACCATCGTGTGTATGCTCTGTGTGTGTGTGTGTGTGTGTGTGTGTGTGTGTGTGTGTTCTCATGATGGTGACTTCTGCGGCACCCGACCCAGAAATGCCGTATACCCAAACACTGCGGAATGGTTAGGGTTGGAGGTTAAAGGTCATTTGTCAGTCAGGTGGGACCGACAGGCATTTGAAATGCTTCCTACCGGGTCCCCTTGATGTGCTGGTAAAAAAATGGATTTTCCTGGACGTATTTGCTTCTGAGCATGGCTGCGATGATATTTTTTTCTTATATTGGATTAGATGCGTCTTTCATGTGCTTGTTGATGTTATATTGTTTTGTGTGGGCACATTTGTATCTCAATAAAATAAAGATCCGCTGAGACCGGTGTGGCTCAGTGGATAGAGCGTCAGCCTATGGACTGAAAGGTCCCGGGTTCGATTCCGGTCAAGGGCATGGACCTGGGTTGCGGGCACATCCCCGGTGGGTGGGGGGAGGTGTGCAGGAGGCAGCTGGTCGATGATTCTCTCTCATCCATGTTTCTAGCTCTCTCTCCCTCTCCCTTCCTCTCTGTAAAAAATCAATAAAATATAAAAAAAAAATAAAGAGACTTTCTAAAATAAAATAAAATAAAATAAAATAAAATAAAATAATAAAATAAAAAAGATCCTTCTCACCACGGAGCTGCCTCTGTCCATGGTGCTGGCTGCATGGCGGCGGCACGAGCGGGCAGGAGGCGCCCGTCTACCATGGAGGGCTGGGCAGGCCTCTCGTGGGCGACGCCAGTGGGATTGGATGCTTCCGCCTTTGCTTCCGAGTCCTGCAGATTTTGGGGAGACCCATTTTGGGGGGGTCTCCCTGTGTGGAGTCTCGCTGCCTGCCTCTCGCCAAGGTGGCTGCCTCTCGCGATACTGACTGTTCTCTCGCGATGGTGCCAAATTCTCGCGATACTGCCCCGCGCGCCGCTAGCAACGGTACCTACACCTCTCACGATACTGGCTGCCTCTCGAGACACTGGTTGCACCTCTAGCGATGGTGCCAGCCTCTCGCGATAGTGCCTACCTCTCCTTTCTCCTGTGTTTATAGGGGAAGAATAGAGACTAGGCGAGGATGAGACTAGAACCGTCGCTCGGTCATCTTGTATAAAAACAAGATAAATTCACTGGACGGAGCTCGCTTCGCCACTTTTCTAGTCCCAGACAACGAAAGGTCGTTAGGTTACGAAACTCAAGCCACGGCCAAAAAAGAACCAGCGCGCCGACCTATGAACCAGGAAGTGAAGGCCCCACTTCCGGTCAGGGCACGTGCCTGGGTGGATCTCCAGTGTTGGAGCGTGCAGGAGGCAGCCATGTCGTCATTGCGTTTCTATCTTTCTCTCTCTTCCCCCCCCCCCTCTCCCTTCCTCTCTGGAATTAATAAAAATATACTTAAAAATTATATTTCAGTTGGGTGAATGGGGCAATAGAAGGGAGCCTGGTGCCTCTGGAGGAAGTTGTTCTGGGTTAAGAGAAAATGGCTAAGGTAGGGGATGGTTGGGGAGGAGATGGTGGAGGCGATCGGATAGATGAAATGGAAGTGTAGGACCAAGCCCTGCTCTCCTAGGCCCCTGATCGGCAAACCGCGGCTCGTGAGCCACAGGAGGCTTTTTGGCCCCTTGAGTGTGTCTCTTCCACAAAATACCACAGCCTGGGCGAATCTATGTTGAAGAAGTGGTGCTAGAAGAAATTTAAGTGTAAAAAGTGTGGCTCTCCAAAGAAATTTCAATCGTTGTCCTGTTGATATTTGGCTTTATGGACTCATGAGTTTGCCGGCCGTTGTCCTAGGCCATTTTCTGCTCTGCCCAGCATTGCAGATGTCAATTTCCAAGACACGAGGAGCCCGTAAATGTGTGTGTGTGTGTGTTTAAATACATGATTGATGTGATCTGAGCTGTGGTTTAAGATGAATATTTTGGTCAAAATGTAGACTTAGAGGAGTGAGGGCAACGAGGTAGAAGAGAGACATTTCCCAGGACATTAAGGGTCACATGATCCTGGAAGGGCCTTCCTTGACATAGTCCTTCTCAGGGTTTCATTAGCTGTATTTTCCCGATATAACTAAAAACTCATTGCTATATGAAGTAGGTATGTGTAAAACGCATGTACCTCATAGTGGGACACGTGTGTGCTTGTGCATGAGCATTGGAGGGGTGGCTTATAAGAACTAATCACAGATGTTGCTGATAGTTTTACTGTTCCTTTTTACTTTTATTTTTTTATTATTATTATTTAAAAATATATTTTATTGATATTTTACAGAGAGGAAGGGAGAGAGATAGAGAGCTAGAAATGTCGATGAAAGAGAAACATTGACCAGCTGCCTCTTGCACACCTCCTACCGGGGATGTGCCCACAACCAATGTACATGCCCTTGACCAGAATCGAACCTGGGACCTTTACAGTCCGCAGACCGACGCTCTACCACTGAGCCAAACCGGTTTCAGCTATTGTTTCTTTTTAAATGATTGAAAAGCGGAATCTTCATCTGCTGCCAGCACCCCCCGGAGAGCACCCCCGCCTGCAAACAAACAAATAGACACGTTCTGCTTCCACATGTAGGCCTCATCACACACATTGTTGTTTTGTAGAAATAATCAGAGGATGGATTCCAGTACTTGAACATTTAACATTCTAGCGCATTGTAACTTGTTTTATGGGTAATATAGAGAGTCTGCATTTTTTGTTGTCCCCATCTTTCCAATTTTCCTTTT